GAGTGGTATGGCTGGGTAGCTCCAGCCGCTGGCGCTTGCGGCTGCAAGGCTGGGGAGGTCACAGGACCATGTAGCGGCTGTTCTGCAATTCCAACAGCTGTCTGCAGCGGCTGTTCTGCAATTCCGGCAGTTGTATCGACCATGGTTGATTGGAAAAAAGGTGTGGAAAATGAATTTGGAGCACGCTTTGAGTATTATTTCGCGCTCTCAATGAAAGCACCAATTTGTGGGAGCAGATTTCCTCCCACGAGAATATTCGATTGAGATTCCTTCGTCTTCTCCGCTTCTCTTTCTCCCTGCAAAACAAATCAGAGTAAAAGGACCACACCCGAGGGGTGTTGGCCAAAGGCCCTCCGATGCCTAAGTTAGATTGGGTGTTTGAAGGAAAACCGGGTGGCCGGAGCCGTGTGTGGTGGCCGGAGCCTTGTTTGAGAGAGAGAAAGAATAGGAAGGGAGAAGGGTTTATCAAAAATAATTTATGCAGAGTTTCAGTAGGAATTCAGACGTACCTCAATCCTCGTGTGTAGCCAATATTTATAGAGGGTCTCAGATGCTTTAATTTGGCGAGGTTGGTGGGGTTGGTGGGGTTGGTGTATTTAGGGGTTAGGGATTTAATCAAATCCCTAATTAAGACAAAAATCAAAGACATCTAATTTAAATCAAATAACCTCCTAATTAATTCAGATAATTCCCAATTAGGCTAGGTAACTCCCAATTAGGTTAGGTAACTCCCAATTAGGTCAAATAATTCCCAAATTGATTGGCCTAATTATTTGACCTAGAGTGAGATATTTTGCTTCCAAAATAACCTTCAAGGTTAACATCTTTTTGAGGTTCGTACTATGGGTTTGTTCTTTCACGTTCATTCTCATATGTAATGGAATTACCTCTTTCCATTTTGGCCGAGTTTAATACTTTGTACACTCAGGTTCTTCAAATGAAAACTATCATCACTAAGTGAATGTTCAAGCCCAGAAGGCACCTACACCTATTGCATAGTATTATGTTGCCCATATGTATATTTTCTTTTCTTTTGCTATTGT